ATTACACAGCCGGAGGAAAGAAGGAGAGATCGTGGTGGATGGGAAACGGGATCGCTGCGTGGAAACAGGGCTCCCGTTCAATTTCGGTATTTCGGAGTGTGTAAACCGTATTAAGTAAATTCATTATACAGTCGAGGGGCGACGTACCTTAATTTCATTAGTTGCATCGCGTCAGCCGTGAAATTCCATTTGCCTGACGCACGTCCGAATTGCTAGGTCACACGGATTTCCTCGATACGTGATTCTCGCAACTTTGCACCCCGCTCGAAACACTTTTGCCTCCTCGTTTCGTTCGCCAACGAACACTGTCTTCCCTATAGATACGAAGCTGGTTTCAATTGCAACGCGAGTCGATAAGTAAGTTACACCTGCCCCGATATTTTCCATTTACGCCTAAGGGAGGAACAATCAACCCTTTTGCTTATTGCGAAACGTTGAAACGTCTATGAACAGCCGTAAAAAGAGAATGATCCGAAAAATTCAGTAGAAAGGTGTATACTCTGCTATAAAGCAATGGAATAAATTAACTCGAGGAAAAATTCACCTCACAAACGAACCCTTCACCCGTCTCTTTTTCTTGGCTTTTTCAAAATTTCCTCCAGTTTATAAATTTTTCACTTTTCCCCCAATCCTGCATTCCTAATTTTTCACTCCTCTCGGTTGCACCAGTTAAAACTGTCACGTGAAATCGGATGCAAATTTGTCGAGTAGGAAAAATTCGAAAATAGATTCCTCGTTACAAGTGTTTGCACAGAGAGAAGTAGTAGCTGGCTGTTTTTACGTTGATAATAAAAGAGAATTTTCTCTCGTTTGTTCGTATTTCTTTTTTTTAGAGAGAGAGAGAGAGAGAGAGGGTTTAACTTATTTATCGACTCACCCTCATATCTCTGCTAGATCGCGGAGTAAGGTTTTAAGTAACAAATTGCGCGTCGTATACATAGAACCTTGGCTGTTATTTCATCAATCGATGCTGCAGGATTTACCATCTGGCTATATTTCTTCGGTGAACTACATTCTGACAGGCAAGAGAAAAACGAATAATCGTCTGAACGTGGAAAGGAGCCGTTGGTGGTTCGCATAGCAGACAATACGAGGGTCCATTTGCAGTTACGCGCGCAGCAGTTTTGCTTAACGTTCGGCATTCATCATTTTGGACGTGTTCCTACGTAGTTTCAGCTCCCTCGGTGTCCTCGACATTTCGATGGCTAAGTTCGGAAGCGCTAAACTGCTTCTGTTCCTGTGATGCAGTAACCAGCCAGTAGTCGCTGCCTCGCCAGACGCTACGAAACGTAAACTTCTTCAAGTAAATACGCTAAGTGGTACCATTGCACGAGCTCCAATGCGCGCACACACACACACATAGTCAAAGTCGCTGGAGACAGCTGCCTTTTCCGGCTTACATTGAGGGATGAATTACGGGTAGATATATCGAGGATTCATAAGCTTTCAGTGAGTTTCCCCGCAACGTGACATGCGCACTGTGCAAAACTTTCCAGCAACGATTATTAATGCCTGGCGTTGTTGCGACGGCTATTGCACCGGGCTTTTTGTTAGGAGCCGAGCACGCGGTCAGGTCGACGAACCAATAAAATTCATTGTTTATGTCTGGTCGTGCTTCCACGCGTTTTACGAGGCAAGTTTTCGCGCAAACGTCAGCTTTTTAGCAACCGAGTCGTAATAAGAGGGGAGAGCTGTGTATATACACACTTCTGCATTGGATTAAAGGTGTTCGAACGTACACGTTAAACTTTTCTACACTTGCCGAAGTGGTGGGAAAGTTTGTTAAAGTTCCTTTGAAACATTCTTGTCTCTCGTTCGATTCGCGGGAGAAATTAAAGGAATATTCGATTGATCGGTACTGGAGGCAGCAGTAAGACGGAAAAATCAACGGAGACCTTTATTAATGTCCGATTAAACACGAACTGGAAAGGTATGCCTCGGCCTGACTACATTCCGAAGCGATTCGGATCACGCAGCCGGATGAATCGATCATCCGATTACCTTTTCCCTTTTGCGCTGCTAATAAAGTACTCCGTCGGAAAAGTCAATTTCTCGCGCCAATAGCCTACGAAATAATTCCTTCTACATTGCCTCGGACTCTCTGGCCCATTCGACTCGACTGGCTCGCGGAGATTACGTAGGGATTATATCGTGAAAAATGCAACGCTGGTGGAAAGATTATAAATGTGCTTAAATTGACCAGATTTCCTCCATCATTCTCACGAGTACCATACTTGAATCCCTCATTATTACCATTATTAGGTCAGCCCGAAAATTCTCGCGGTTTTAAGCCGTTCATTTTTGGGAAAAATGTAATTCCATTAAAATTTGAAATAATTTTCACTCTTGCCAAAGTATTACGAGAGCACTAATTTCACGTATATAAAAATTCGAATTTCCTCGAGAAAAGAAACTGCTGAAAGACTCCTGTTTCCTAAATTGCTTTTGCCTTTTGCCAAAGTATTACGAGAGCACTAATTTCACGTATATAAAAATTCGAATTTCCTCGAGAAAAGAAACTGCTGAAAGACTCCTGTTTCCTAAATTGTTCTTGAGTACGGAAATTATCAAGTCAGCAAACACTGTGAGCATATTTTTCCTGGGTTTCGATCGGGGAGATTCATTTGCGCCTTCCTTTCTCTCAGAAATTCCAGCATATTTTTCCTAGGTTTCGATCGGGGAGATTCATTTGCGCCTTCCTTTCTCTCAGAAATTCCGATTTTTATGCACGCGGAATTAATGGCAAAAGTGTGCCGAAAATTATAATTATAAAATTACTTTCAATGAAATCTTTTGCCAACGTATTACGAGAGCACTAATTTCACGTATATAAAAATTCGAATTTCCTCGAGAGAAATGTTTTTAATATCCTCCTGTTTCCTAAATTGTTCTTGAGTATGGAAATTATCAAGTCAGCAAACACTGTGAGCATATTTTTCCTAGGTTTCGATCGGGGAGATTCATTTGCGCCTTCCTTTCTCTCAGAAATTCGGATTTTTCTTAGCAAAAGTGTGTCGAAGATTGTAGTTACAAAATTATTTTCAACGAAAATCTTGAATTTCAACGAAGTTACGTTTGTTTCAAAATGAATAGCTTAAGTAACTTTCCGAAATCATCGAGAGAGGACCTTTTTCGAGTTGAATCGCTTTCGAAGAGAATTTATCCGCGATCTCTCGAAGCATATCTGAAAACAGCAACTGCACTCCAGCTACCACGAAACTCTCTTTCCTGCGAAACGATGGATCTTGGGGAAAGTCTGACGGAGAAATTTTCCGTATTTTATCGTAAGTTTCGTCAGCTTTTTGGCTGGCCGTAAATACGGAAACGGACGAACGCCGGTCGATTCGGTACTTCCGTTTTGTTAACTCGCTGCCCTATGACGGAAGTCACTCTGGCAATGTCTCCGCAGACTTCCCCCAGAGTTTACCAGATTACTTTCTCGTTGATAGTAGTAAGGGCTGCTCTGATGCCGGTGAACATATACACCGACTGATGAAATTACCGTCCTCGTCCCCGTAGACGTCAAAGTTCACCGTAGCCGAAGTTTAAATGTCTCCTTCGTCGAAACAAATTATGCATTATACGCGGTTCCCGCAGAATGTTTGTAGATGACGGAGGCTCGCGCCCCGGCTTCTTGAAATATTTAACGCGACGGAACTTGAAATATTGATCCGGTGGCGACGTTCGTAGCCCCTCCGGCAGATTTTCGTGGATTTTTTCGAGATTTTTCCAAACTTTCGAAGCTTCGCTTTATTAGATGCAATATTCAGCGGCAGAAACCCCCGCGGTGATTTATCTCGCCGATTCGTTACTTTAATAGATCGCCAAGCGATGGAATAGGTGTCTGCCATTTTTCACTTTGTAATTGACACGAGATAATATTTCATTTTTATACACTTTCGTGAAATTTGTTCGAAAGTTCGGAATAACTGGGGGAAAGAATTGGAAAGAAATCGTTTAAAGTTTTCCACAGAGAGAGAAAGAAAGTACGAGCGAATTCATTTAACGATCAGCCGTGTGATACTGTTCAAAGCAGCCTTGCTCGATCTCCTCTGATAACCATCATTGACTCCTCTTTGAAATTCCGTTTGCCAAGGTATCCTGGGTCAGGCACAGGGACATTCACATTTTAACGGCAGGCGCATATACCTATACGAGCGATCAACGATTCCAGGCGCTTCACAGACAAAATACGGGCCAAAATAGCGAGTGGTCTGAATGGACTGTTTGCATAAAATGGGCGCAGAAGAGAGACCAGGGACTCTACGAATGTCAGATCTCCACGATTCCCGTCAAGTCACACCAATTTCGCTTAAACGTCGTCGGTAAGTTCGATTAAATTATGCTCCACGAACTTTTTTACATTCTCACCACGTACCTAAAGATACCTTTTTAATTTTCTCTAACTAAGTACGTACACCGAATTCTCACCTGTGTCAGAAGTCTCTCGATTCGTCCACGAATCGAACCGAATTTTGAAATAAGAAAAGCAAATCCATCGTTCTTTATTGCATTTCTACACCGTTCGTTTTCACTCGAGTATCGAGTGCAATCGTCATCGTGAAAAGTCACGCTCTTCTCCGTGCACGGTTGCCCGGTTCGTCGATTGCTCTCGAAAGCGTTTCATAAAATATAATGATCCGGATGTGTTACTCGACCGCACGACGACCTATCGAGGTGTCCATTAACGTCGCCCTGGAGAGAGAAACTTGCGAACCTAATTCTGGAGAGCGCGATACCATCGTGGCCGGCCTCATTATTTCAATTACAATAACCTTGGGCTCTGATAACAGGCTTCGGCTCATTAGTTACCGCGGATCGCTAAAGCAACCTCCATCCCCTCCGTCGGGAATCGTTCCTCGCGCGAGACTAGTTCTCATAGAATTCCAACTTCCGGGTAGACACGATACTCGGGTATATACAGGGTGTCTCACTTATCTCCTTTATTTTTAACGATATCAGACGTGTTTCGAACACAGTTCGAACGGTTTCAAAAGAGGAGCATCGCAAATAGACACTATGAAGGTATTTGATCAGTTTTTTGGTGTGCATGATCATCATTTCAACTCTTTTCGGGCTCCGTCTTTACTATCATGCGGGAATACAGGAGCTTATTCTTACAGCTGTACAAATTTTCAATTAAAATTCGTGGGCGTGCCTACTAAATCGTTCGCTTTCTCTTATTACAGGGAAATTAAGCTTAATAACGTTAAAGAGCGGTAAGCGTCGGCAGCGAAAAGCCGATTAATAGGCTTCCGGTCGGTAAAGTGTTAACATTTCTCCGCAAGCTGCAGCAGAAGAAAATATATACTTTCTTGCAAAATAGAAAAAGTACCGGAAAATAAAAAATTTTCCTTCCTTCGGTATTCCGTCTTCGAAACCGTTCAAATTTTACTTCAAACATTTCTAACACCATTAAAAACAAAGAAGATACTTCGATGTTCAATCTTAGCCGAGCCACCCTGTACAACTTATTTTCCAATAGCAAAATTCACATTCCTTCTGAATAAAATATCATCCAAAATGTTCAAACTCTCTCTCTGGAGTGTCTACGATGAAAAAGGAAATTCACCGGTAAATCTTTGTGCACCTCGAGATAGAGGACACCCGGTATCGCGTAGACGTGAAATTGTGGATGGGCGTGAACGGCGAACAAAGGGACAGAAAGAAAAGGGAAAAAAAGAGTGTCATTCTTTATCGCAGTACCAACAGCGACGATACTCGGAGGTCCAGATCTGTACGTGGGCGCTGGTAGCACGATAAACCTGACGTGCGCCATACACTTCAGTTCGGAGCCGCCAGCCTACATCTTTTGGTACTACAATGAGAACGTGTTGAGCTACGACAGTCCCAGGGGCGGCGTCTCGGTGATAACCGAAAAGGGTGGCGACGTCACCACCTCTTGGCTCCTTATCCAGACGGCGCAACCTTCGGACTCCGGGGAGTACAGCTGCCAGCCCAGCAACGCCAATACGGCGTCCATCAAAGTTCATGTCCTAAATGGTGAGTGTTTACACGCGCGATTACGTAATCTTCCAATCTTGGTAAACTAACAAGGAACATCGGTCCAATTGATACAAGTCGATGGAAACTATGAAAGTTTCTGCATAGTTGGAGAATTCACGAGAACCAGTTCCAATCTTTTCGACAAACTTTCTCGTCCTGTGTTTTCCTTCGAGAAACAAAGGTTCGATCGTGTTTCGTTAAAAGCATAGGGAATCTTCTGATACTTCTCCGCGCTATGTAGATCACTGGATCCATTTGAAAAAAAGAAAGAAAAAACACGTAAAACCAGGACATGGGGTAAAAGCGAAAGGTTGATTTTCTTTTTATATCCTCGTGGTTTTGATACATTCTCGCGTGTGACATATTTCAATCGATCCCCGGCACGCATCGAGCATGTCCCCAAAAAGAATAACACTTTGCAAACGAACGGTTTCAAGTTTTTACAACTCGCTCGGTTATTTACGGTTCGGGGTCTTTCTCGAGCGAAACGTTCGCGACGATTTGCAAGCGAGTAATAAAAACACGGGCAAAATAATTCCGCAACGTGCTGGCTATAGTAAAAACGTGCACAGGTCGTCTACCTGTTACCAAATGTAGAGAGCACTCTGCGCCGGTTTTCGACTGAAACGTAGCTTTACGGCTGAATATAAAGCATTAAAAATGTAGAAAACAATCCTTCCTTTTTTTCGACGAAGACTCCGACCTGGTTGAAATTCCGCGAAACGTCGCTTAGAAATTTTGCATAAACCAGTTCCGTAGAGTGTTTTCTTAACCCGTTCATTTTCTCGCGGCTTAATTCGCCAGACGCAAAGCGGTAGGAAAATTTCGGTATCACACGCACCTGTCCTCTTCCCAGATTTCGCAGGCATCTGGGACCCTCGCGCAATCGTCCTATCGGAACTTGGTAATTACGCAGTCGCCAAGTTTTGCATGTTTATTCAACGAGTCTCTCGGAGCAACGTAGAGCAAACGAGCTTCGACATGGCGAGAATGTTTACCATCGCGTTCGTCGTTCGTTCGATAATACGCGCGCCTCCCTCGGAAACAGTTCTGTTAATGCAATATTCGCTGAAATTTTTCGAAATTTTCAGTGACTGCACTTTTGAAAACAGAAATTCCCAGGAAAAATGTCTGTGATTCGTTCGTGTTTTTCACTCAAACGCAATCATGCGAGGGCATATCACGAATTTCCGGACGAAACAAGTAGTGATGCCCATATTTTAGCGAAATGCGTATGTGTTAATACGTATTCCACGCTTTTCATCATTTTTTCACGAAAATTTGGCGCAGAGTTCATATTTTTTACCAAATATTTGCACACATTCCTCTTCTGTGGAAGTTAACAGCGACGTAAATATTTGGTGATCTCGTAAGTAACGTTGCTTGTTATCTTGGCTCGACGTTCGGACACGTGGAATACAGAAATAGAAGAAATTCAACAATTCGAAGTGGGAATGAACTTTTAACACTCGGTATATTTTATGGCTATACAGCAACTCGGATATAATATTAATATTAGGAACTTTTGCCTTCAGATAAATTATAAATTATACACGATAATAAACCATTCTTTATGCATCAATATTACACTGAAACTTAATATTTTACAACTGACATTACGCTGAAATATTGAAATAAAGGTAAATTACGCGGTACTGCCGCACACTGGCCCAAATGATTGCGGACTAACTAGACTATTCGGACCGTAAAGGGTTCAGACTTATCAAAAAATTAACATATAATATTAAAATAAACGTAAAAGGGGTAATAAATGACGTTTATTAAGAAATTTTATTATTACAAAATAATGTCACAATCTATTGTAATTAAAAGCCCGCCGAGTGTTAAAGGTTAATACCACATCTACTATATTCTCCTGACTTAGCGCCATTGGATTACCATCTATTTCGTTCGCTAGAAAACGTTTTTAAATGACAGAAAATCTTGAAGACTACATTCCACTCTTAAAGTTAACATTAGATCACTTTTTTTAATCCAAATGATAGGAATTCTTATGAAAAGGGGATTAAGTATAAAATTGCCTGAAAATTGGAAACAACGATCGACTGCTATTACTTTAGTATTGAAACTAGGCTTCTAATGCGACATTACCTACGGGATGACCTAATACTTCGTCGATCGATGGAATCGGTTGTTGTTCAGGTTCCTGTCGAAGCCTAAATCGATTCACGACAGACAATAAGGGGACGTCGATCTTTGGCCGACAAATTTCTGTCCATGTAAATTACGCGGATTCCAGCGGAAACGCCGGCGCCAATTCGAGGGATTCTTAGGATGTCGAAATCGAGCGGAAATTGCATTTCAATCCGTCGCATAAAATACTGCCGAGCGACGTTTAACGAAGAAAGAGAAGCAACCGAACGGAACTTCGACACGGTTTTCAAGCCTTTCGAAACTCCTGCTACCGGTCAAAGAAATATCGCTCGTTGAGGAGAGAGAGAGAGAGAGAAAAAAAGAAGTCTCGCTTGGAACGTTGAACAGATATTTTTACGAGGGCCGTTCTAACTTTCGAAACTCGTTCTCTATTGCGCGGCCACGCTGCCTCCGCTGGATTCTCCTCTCTTTCCCGAAGACGCCTTTAGCTTTGATTAAAACGGCGCGATGCGGTTCCGCGACTGAGATGAATGATTTAGACAACTCTTTGCTACGTCCTGGCATATTTTGCTCCGCGCAAACGCAAAAAATCCCGCCAAGTTTTACCTCTAAAATACCAGCTCGTCTATCGTGGAAAAATTTATTTTCCCCCATTGCTCGCTTCTTTGCATCTCGGATGAACCGGCTGTAGAAAAACTTCCATGGAATAGAGAGATTCGGTGGAGAAAAGTTGAATTTCTTTTGTAATTCGACAGATAAATTTTATCGCGATAGTTAGGAAATTTTGATTAATTGATATTCTCTGCTTAATCGTCGAACCTCACAAATCCCATTATTTCTGATAAGCCACATTGGGATTCTTGGAAGTGAACCGCGCGCGTTATATGTATTAGAGTATAATCAAGGGCTTTTCATCCCCGATTACTCGCCACAGGTTGACTTTCAGGAATCCGGGAACTTTCGATATTAATTTATCAGGAAAGCTCGTAGTTCGGCTGCATAGCGTTTACGAGATTGATCAAAGCATTGTTCCGCGTTGTACTACACTATACGCGTGTCCCAGCCCGACGGTAATAACAAGAACCGTGGCTGGCGATAAACAAACAAAGGAGACCCGAAAGTGGATTAGAAAATACAGAACGAGATGGCTTTCTGTTACAGGCGAGCGACCAGAGGCGATGCAGACCGGCACAGCGGGACCTATTTTATCCTCGAGCTGCCTTTTGGTGTCTCTGATCATTTTGTACATATCCTCGGTGTAAAACGTCGACACGAGAATGAAGAAACACGAACGAGCATCGCCGTAAAACGCCGCCTCGCTTAGGCCAACTGTCTCGAGTCTGTTGGGGTACGTTTCTCGTCAAGATCACGCTACCGTGTTCAGCCGAAAAAAATAATCGACGGTCCGACCTAGAAAATTTCAAGCGAAACCGTGGTGTGTACGTACCCACGTGTGTGTGTGTGTACACGAACGGAAACGAAATATAACATGGTTGCTTCGAGGCCCGTTTTCTACTAACTTCCACAGCTGCTCGATCGTGTGTTTGTCGGTTACTTACCTGTCACAATAATGTTCCGCTCACGGTCATTTTTTCATCCTCGTCCGACTAGAGAACGCGAAGAGAGATCGCGCGGACGAAGCACAGATCTTCCCGAACGACTACTACTCCACAGTCTACGAGAATATGCTCGCGTTTCCTCCCGTAGCTTCCTGTTCGTAGCGAGCAGCAACAGCCCGAGATCGTTCGTACGATCAAACGAGAGAACGTCAAAGGAACGCGGGAGATTAACGAGTATGCGTGTTCCGAATGCCGAAAAAAGGGAGTCTGACTCTTGGTCGAGGAACGTTTTGTTGAGGGAACGTCGACGCTAATACCAAGAGACCGTAGCTCTGCTATACGGCTGGGTTTCGAACGTTGAGGGGTTCCGATGATCCGCAGTGAGAGAAACCGATTTACGAGAGGCGTAAACGCGAGAAACAACCGTCTCGCGGCGAGCTTTACGACTGGTCGAAACCTCGGGATGCAGGGTACGTGAGACAGAGTTCAGTGGGAAATAAAACGTGACTCGATTGCCGGATCTCCTTTTTCCTCGCGATGGGGGATGCATGGTTAACACGTTTTATCTTCAAGAGGGAAGTAGATAACTTTCTTTCTTTATAGCAGGAGCTGAGAATCTGGGGGTGAAACTGGTTGCATTTAAACATTCAATTGGATCGAATTTCGGATTCATCGGTGTGTTTTTATTGAAAAGATATGTATATATATATTTGTCGTTTGGCCGGTACGTGTTAATTGCGAGGAAATGATTACACGGAGAATGAAAATCGCGAATAAATTTCGTTAATGTTGAATTTCGAATGGAAATATCGTGTACCTATAGTTCAGAGAATTATCTGGCGATTTTCATCGGGCGAGAACGCTAGAGAGAGCCGCACACGAGTATACACGTTAAAATTCGAGCGGAAAATATTGCCATTCCGCGCGACAGCTACACGCGTGATACGAATGTTAATATTCGAGAGGCGAGCGCATTACGACCACGGTGGCCGGGTTATGCATCATTGTCGCGCGACGGACGAAAAACGCTCGCAAATCCCTTCCAGCCGATTAACAGTCAGAAACGCAAACGTTTCGCGATTGAAAACAATTACGGGAAATTATTATTACCGAGCCGGTCGGAATAATCGGTTGTGCCGCTTTGAGCACGCGAAATTCACACCGATCGGTCGGTCGCGTTCTAATTTTCTAGTGGCCCCCCCCCTCGTTTGCCAAACGTATCAATTCTCTCGCGCGTCAACCGCGTCGAATATTCCACACGGATTTTCCAACTGACTGTTTCTTTTTCCTCCCTTGAAAAAGTTTTTATTACCTCGTTTTTTATATCGTACGTTAATTTCGTTCACGCTGTTAGCTTGTTAGAGGTAAGATCTATTAAATATTGTACGTATACGAGACTCTCTATTACGAAATCAGACGAATCTGGTTGGTTTCGTGAGCGTAACGAAAGTTTCGCGTAAAAGAAGTCACGTTGTCCCAGGGCAACTCTAGCGGAACACCATCCGGTGAAACTGGGAAAAAGTTGTGTGAAATTTCGATCGATCAGTCGCGATGCAAAGGAGCATACAGGCAGAAGCGTAGAAGACAAGGTTGTTTCGCGAGATAGCAGTCTCGAAGAGCTCTAACTGAACATTCGAATGCAAAGCTAACACCAGTTGCCGACGAGACGGGCAACGTCGTTCGGAGTAGCCGTCTGTTTGCCGTGCGTCGAGCGGGTATTAGCGTCGACGGGCAAACACGAAACCTGTACATAGCGTTTGTATTATAAATTGTGGCCGGGTGATGATAGTTACACGCCGACGACGCGAGCGTAAATGCGTGCACGCGTGGCGCATTAACTCTCTCTCTCTCTCTCTCTCTCTCTCACCTGAACACCGGTGTGATGGATCTAGTAATTGCGTTTACCGCGTGGAAATGGAGTTTCGCGGCCGGAGTGTTCCCGAGCGAATGACCCGCAAACTGGCCCGAGCCTTCTTCGCCCGGATTCGTCAGCGTGACCTGATTATCGAACGCTGGATCATCGCTTCGAAAGGTCGATGCACACCTATTATTGCAATTTTATTTCGAAACGAACGTACACACACGTTATGAATTCTGAAATTATTCAACCGAGACAACGAGAAAGACTGAAGAAGTACGGTTACCTAGAACACGATCGTTTTATTTAACGAGTCCAGTGAACGGGTTTAAGCAAGCGATGATCCCGCATACTCTTCCAGAATAAAAGAGAGAGAAAAAAAAGAACACTTCTACACGTCGTTCCTCCGATCGATGATCCGTACAAAACCAAAAAGCATCGCGAACGAAATGAAACTCTTCGTCGATCTTCTCTCCCTCTACGTGAATCATGAAAGAACCTTTTTACTACTTTCTACATTTTTTCCTTCCTTTGAAAGGCTTCCTCATCCTCCTCTTCGCATGTTGTACGTGACAACCTGAAAATGAGGGGTGTCTCCCTTGACACGCGTAAACGTTAAGCCACAAACCAACACGCTACGAGGGGTTGCCGGATCATCGTGCTGGATCTATTTCAACCGCGGCGCGAAACGACGGACAATTTTCACTTTCTATTTGTGTGTGTTTCGATATGATATCCTCGCAGAAGATACTCCCCCCACCCCATGCAAAAGTATCGAGCCGATCGGTTTTCTCGTGCACAACACCGATCGAAAAGTCCTCCCTCATCGTCCCATCACACTTTTCTGTTCCTGCCATGTGGTGGCGATTCTTTCCTACAAATTTGGATTACGTGTGCTCGCGCGACAAGTCGAGAAAGTCGAAAGGGAACGGAGACAGAGGAACCGTACGGAAGGGAGGAAGAATAGAGAAGGTGCGCGCAAGCCCTCGAGGGTGGAACGAAAGAGTGAACGGAAGTTTTTCGAGGGTGAAATGGAAGTTTGAGTCGATACACGTGCGGTCGACGAAACGGAACGTGGCCTACCGTAAACTCACGGAGAATAATTGCACGGACCTCACCGGGGGAGCGAAAGTTTCGGGATTTTTCTTCCCTCTCAGCGGAAACTACGTGTAACGGATAGGACGCGGTCCATTAAGCACCACTCGTCGATTCGATCTGGCCTCGCAACTCGCGTTTACCTCGCGCGGCAAACCGGACGATACGTTATTTCATTTGAAACTCCTTTATCCGGCACTGATTGATAACAGCATTCACCGCTAACTTACCAAATCCCGTTACGCCCCGGCCGAAGCGGGGATCAATTTTCTGGAACGTATCCGTTACACTTTCTTGATGTATGTCTGCGTTCACGTGTTCCTGATAAAAAGAGGATTTCCTTGGAGGACAGAAAATTCTTTGTTGACATACTTATCAGGTTTGTGCATATTAAATTTTAGATATATGTATCGTGTTTCTTCTTTCATCTAAATCATTTTCACACGATTCTATACACTTTTGTGCAACGATTAACCAGTTTCGTTATTCGAAATTTATAAAAATTACTGTTATTCGAATGCTGCCTTTACAGTGTCTTCATTCCGGGAGAATTTATTCGTTGAAAAATTGTTCAGGTGTTTGAAGAAATGGTAGTCTGTTGAGAGATGGTCGAATGATTAGGGTAGGATGTGGCAAAATTTCATACTCTTTATCGTGGATTGTTTTCATTTATTTTTCTCGTAGCGTTATCGTCGACTGGCCTTCTTCTTCGCTCATTTCCAATGAAGTCACCAATCCTGAATTTTGCACACCAAAGTTGAAGTGTTTTAACATTTACACAACCTTCTTAAAATGCTAGATTTATATTTTCGCCAGTTTTTATCACAGTTTTTCCAACTTCAAACTTACATTAAAAAATTCATTCGTCACATTAGATAATAATGTCCAAACAATCGTATTATAAATTATTTTACTATTCAATGCTCTTGTACCACAGCAAATTCAGTTGTTGAAAAAAAAAAACTTCATTTGCACCAACCTAATATTTGAATAGATAAACGTTCAGTACGTCCATCGGGCCTCTCGAGAGAAATGCTTTGATTACTTCTCGCTACTTTATTACATTCCGTAGATCCTTCGTTGAACAAAGCATTTCCTCAGAAATGTACAGCACACCTTGATCTCGGAAATAGAAAAAGCAGCCGATGAATAGTAAAAAGAAGTTATCCGAAAGGTATAAAACGTAATTGGTAATCTGGTAAAAGAATGAAGGCACTGAAAAGGCGAGTCGATGAATCCTGTCTTTTGAAAGGGATCAAGACGAAGGTTCAAAGGAGCTCCACTCGCACAGCGTAGTCCGGTTCATCAAAGTTCCGGGAGATTTTCGAGATCGAAATATCGCGCTTTATAAGGTATACAATTCACGAGAACGAGATAAACGGTACGGATAAAGGACGAACGAACGAAAGAAAGAAAGAGCGTTGAAACAAAAACAGCGGATTCCGGTGGTCCCGGTCGAACAAGCACGTCGCGAATTCAATTAGTTTCCAGGGTTATCTTCCGAGGTCTCGATTTTGTTCCTCTGACAGTGCACCAATCGTTTGGCCTCACGCTGGCCACTTTGTTCCGGTGTACGCGGCGTTTTCCTCTTCCCCGCTTCTCCCGCCCGAAAGGAAGAGTGATGTTGGTGCCGGTGTGGAAAAAAGGGGCGGACAAAAAAAAAAGAAACGTCGATCGAACTACCCTTTCGACTTGACTCGATCACGCGACGCGAAACACACTAGCTAAACTAACTGAGGTACATCGAGTA